CCCTCTCATGTGCTCTCTGTCTCTCTCATTCTCTCTTTCTCAAATAAATAAATAAAATCTTTAAAAAAAAAAAAGAAAAATGAAAAATTAAAGGTGGTAAATCTTTGATGTCAGAAAAGTCCATTTTGCTAGTAATTACTATTACTTTTCTAAATGATGAGGAATATCCTTCATTACAACAAAGTTAAATTAAAACGCAGAAGTAATGCTAGATACTTTTTTAAAATACGTATTGTAACTTCAGTTTGCAGTCTAGTGGTTCTCAAAAAAGTAGTTTTGCTATCTGACAATCCATCTTAGCTCTCATTCAATTTATACACCATTTATTTCGATTTGATCAGCATCAGAATTATTCTGAAATGTAAACCGGGTTCTAGTAGCAGGCAGGGTATCACAGAGTCAGGCTGACATTTCCGAATTACACTCTGGTTGTGCGTAAGCCATTTAATCTCTCCATGAGTCACTCTTTCTACTTACAAAATGGAGACATTGCTCCTGGACCCAACTCCACTGAGAGTTAGTCCTGCTGGGGAGAAAGGAGTTTGAAGAGCAAGTATTTCAACCAAGTGATGTTTGGTAAAAGAACGAACACACTGAGGACAAGTATTATGAGTAGGTTGCTCATGTAGTAATATACACAGTAAATGTTTAGAAAATAGAATATTAAATATTCAGTAATATACAATTCTGAGACTCTTGAAACAACACTAAGGGGAGATATGTGAATCTTAATTCCAAAACACAGACATGAGGTACCTTTTTTCACTAGAGAAAAAAATTCAGAAATATGACTGTTCATCAAACTTTGGAGGATAGAGAGCATTTTCAAAACCTATAGACTGTAAGTCACCAAAACAGTTGTTGGGTTTTGTAACCAAAGAACACAAGTTCCCTCCATTCTAGTTTAAAAGAAATAATAATTATACAACATCTACCGCAAGGCCTTTCCTTCAATATTTTTTTTTAAATAAGGGACCATGAGAAACGTAAGATGAAGTTACACTGTTCCCCAATCAAATAGTAATACAAGTATGAGACATGGGCAAAAATTTATAGAAATAATACAATGTGTCAGGCATCTAAGTAGCTCAGTTGGTTAAACGTGTGCCTTCAGCTCAGGTCATGATCCCAGGGTCCTGGGATCGAGCCCCATGTTGGGCTCCCTGCTCAGTGGGGAGCCTGCTTCTCCCTCTCCCTCTGCTGCTCCCCCCGCTTGTGCTCCCTCTCCCCCAAATAAATAAAATCTTAAAAAAAAATATGATGTGTGAGGCATACCTTTGAAAAAGTGCTCCCATCTCAGAGCTTCAAACTTGCTCTTTCTCTGTCCAAACCCTCTGTCCCCAGTCCTCCTGCATATCAGTCAAGGTGTGTGTCCCTTTGTGTGCCCTCTCTTCAAAGAGATCCTCCCTGACCATCTCTTCCCCTTTTCCTTCATGGAACTTACCATGTTTATTACCATGCAGTTGTTCTTCTGATCATTTATTCACTGTCTGTTTCCTCAAGTGGAGCCAGGCACCATGTCCTTTTGTTCACCACTGAACCCCCCTCCCCACCCAGCACCCTGCTGAGCAGAGCAGAACCCACTCTTCATTGGCTGGATGAGAAAATGAAAACTAGACATGCAAACTGGCCATAAATTTCCAAAGCCAGAAAATGGCAAGAAAAGTAAGTCTTCAAATACCAAGAGAGAAAAGAAAAGGGTATCTGATATACTTTTGATTAGCTACCATGAAAGCCATTAGCATTTCAACTCCACAGGGCTAAAAAATTGCCCTGGGCTATTCCTAGCATGCTGTCTGCCCCTTCATCAGTGGGTCAGTGCGTGTCCTCTTCCGTACTTGAACCGTGGTGGAAACCAACCCGCTCTGGAATACACTAGAGATAATTTTCTGAACTTTAGGCTGTGGCTGCCCACAAGTGCACCAGCCTCGGTCCCGGTCTGTGCAGCCCCCCTCTAAGCCCAGCCCAGAGAAGAGAAGGGCCACAGACATAGCCGCTCTGCCCTCCATATGGGAGGAAGGAGGCAGCCTCATACACACACACTTAGGAAACATCCTCCATCAGTGCCTCCCGATTATCTGTGGCGAAGGGCCAGCTTTTCTGTTTATTTCAACTCATACAGATGACTCCTTTAAGATACATAATAAAAGTAATTCGAAAAATGAAATGCCATTTATAAAGCATGACAATGTCGACTTGCTACAAAAATTTCCACATGCTCCCTCTCCGTTTCCATAGTTATCACACATCCATACCCAGCAGTCCAAGGACCAGCACCAGTCCGTGAACCACATTTTGAGTAGCGAATAACACAAAGCTTAAATCCTCTAAGAAACTCCACTCACCAGGAGGGCAACACTGACCAAACCAATCACTGAATCTCTCCTAGCGTATCTACAGAAGGAATATGGCAGGCGTTCTGTGAAGATGGATGATTAATATTTTGTTGGCATAGAGGGGGATTGAAGGTCTAAAAACGGAAGCCATTATTAATACGACAAGCCCCGGTAAGTTTCGCAGTTACAAAGCTCTCCTCATCTCACCTGATTCCCATAACACTTGACAAGTGTTCTCACCCAGCTTCAGTGCAAGAAGTCACACCACACGGATGCAGTGGCATGTCCTGCAGCTGATGAAGACCAGCTTCCCCTGCACATCCGGGGGCGGACAAAGGGCAGCGCTGTGCACCCAGCTCCGCGGGGGGACACTTACGCTCTCTGGAACTCTGGGATGCTGAAGATGGCCTGCATGACGGAACTCAGGTAGCAGCTGTTGCCCAGATTCTTGAGACCCGTGTACCCGGGGCCATACATGGGCTTCAGCTTCGTCCCCGTCTCCTGGATCACTTCCCACTCGCTGACCCGAGGCTTGATGTCATTGTCCCGAAGCCCGTTCTCTGTCTGGGGCAAAGTCATCGAAGGAAACCAACTTTAGTTGTAATTATCACCCAAAGCCCATGTCCCAAGAATTATTTCTAACAGCAATGAATGTTTCTGCCCCTTTGTTCCCGAAGATAAGCAGAAAAATCACCTAATTAAAGGGACTGACGTGGCGATGCTGCACAAAAATGTCAATGTATTTAATGCCACAGAACCACACACTTAAAAATAGTAAAATGGTAAATTTTATGTTATGTATGTCTTTCCACAGTAAATACACACACTTAAAAGATTTAACTATGAAAGAGAGATGAAGGGGAAAGGAGATAGGAGGAAGAAAGACAAATAGGAACGGAAAGAAAGAAGTTAGTAGAGTATACTGTAAAATACAGTAAAAACTGTATTTTCCAGTGCAACCCAGCAAACAGAAAGGCAAGGCCGCTGGAGAGGAAAGTGAAGGAAAATCATGGGCCTTGGAAGTGCCTTGAAGGGTGACGTGAGTGAGGACAAGGAGACGGAGGGGAGGAGAGCCCGAGGAGAGGGAGACAGGCTGGGAGGGAAGGGTCCAAGCGGAGCGCGCACACTGAAGCAGCTCCTCACAGGCACGGACGTTACATAGTCATGATATCAGCTTGAAAACACAATATTAAATGAAGCAAAGCTCTTCCCATCAACAACAATATGTTGGCTTATTCTTTCCACCCCCGAGCTCTGCTTCCCTTCCTGAAATTAATTAAAGTGATGTCGGTCACAGATAATTTTAAAGGTCATCTTCCCATACTTTCTCGCTTCAGTGAACAAGGAGTGATTCATGCAACTCTCCACCAAAGGATACAGAAATTTTACAAGTAAATTCCAACTAAAACAAATGGTACTTGATGAGGTACCATTTTTATTATAACATTAAAAAAAAATGTAAGCTGGTAACCAAAAGAAAATGTTAATTAATTAAATTCAAGAAGTAAATGCAAAGTAAGATTCCTGTTACAGCAATTACATATTAAAGAAACCAAAGGGTTCCCTCCCTGCAAGGTAGGAATACAGACAAAGTGGACCTTCTTACCCCATGCATATGAAGCATATCAATTCCAAAATGCGCTAAGTGCTTGGCCAAATGAGGATCCAAAACAGGTTCCTCTTCTTGAAAGGAATAAACATCTACAGGGTGAAGAGAAAACAAGGAATGAGATCTTTAATCAAGTCATTCAGGATTCAACATATGTCCATTGAGCTCCCACTATGCGCCAGGCTTGGGATACATGGGTGAATAAAGCCAATAGAAACCTCCTGTGAGTTACACACTCAACTGGAGAAAAGACAGATGAGCAACAACAAACATAATTAATAGGTCTATTTTGTAATTATACCCATATAGCAATTTTTGACATTTCAGGAGGTTAATTTTTAAAAAGGTTTTCTGAGACGAAAAAAAATTTAAAAAGCAGTGTCTAAAGTTAAAATAGTTGAAATTAGATGAGTGTAAATGCCTAGCAACTGATCTTCTAACCAAAACCGTGCTGGCATAACAACTGTGCAGGCGGAGGGAGGGGTGAGGGAGGACAGAGAGGCAACACCTGCCATGGCAGGGGGACCTACGAGGGAACAGAGGGGACACACAGGCCCTCGGGAGCAGCTGAGTGGCTGGAGTAAGGTGTTAGGTCCAAGACAAAGCTAACTTCTGCTGTAGCATCCTCTACAGTCTCAGACCTACCAGCTCACCAATGTCCACCTCTCACCTGCCCCTTCATCCCTTCTTTCTAACATTAGTGTCCACACCCCACAGAGCTGGGGAGGGACTTAGTGAAGAATGTTCAGTCCACCACCCCGTAGCACTCACAGCAAATGAGGATGCTCATGGCCCAGCCAGGTAACTCAGGAAGTTCTAGCCACCCCCAGGCCCAGCCCACCGGTCCCAGGGCCTGAGGGATTGGTATCTTGGCCTTCTGGGCAAATCCCCCCAAAAGCTATCAAAACCACTGCCTTGTGTGTCCTCACACAGCAGTGCAGTGTGGGAGAGGGGACAGATATCTTCAGGCCCATTTTGCAGATGAGGAAAAGAGGCTCATAAGGTTAAATCATTTGCCTCAAACCCCACAGGGAGCCCAGAACCCATGCATCCTGACCCCTCACCCAGTCCTTTTTCCTCTACACCAGACTATCTCTTTATATCTCTCAGGAGACTCAGAGACTTGGTGAAGCACCATCCTAGGCCCTTAATAGGAAGGGAGAGTCAAAAACCACAATGTCTTCACTCTTAAATTGGAAAAACAAAATCTATTACAAGGAAAATAGATATCAAGATAGTAGGGGTTCGTGGGTGGCTCAGTCAGTTGAGCGTCCTACTCTTGGTTTTGGCTCAGGTCATGATCTTGGGTGGTGGGTTTGGGCCCCATGTTGGGCTCCACGCTGGGTGTGGAGTCTGCTTGAGATTCTCTCTTCCTCTGCCCCTCCCACTCATGTTCTCTCTCTCTCTAAAATAAGTAAATAAGGGCGCCTGGGTGGCTCAGTCAGTTAAGTGTCTGCCTTTGGCCCGGGTCATGATCTCAGGGTCCTGGGATCGAGCCCCACATCAGGCTCCCTGCTCAGCGGGGAGTCTGCTTCTCCCTCTCCCTCTCCCTCTGCCCCTCCCCCTGCTCCTGCTCTCTCTCTCTCTCTCTCACTCTCTCTCTCCCAACTAAATAAATAAAATCTTTTTAAAAATTTTTTTAAAAATAAAGTAAGTAAATTTTTAAAAAGAATAAAAAGGATAGCATTCTTTAGGACAGTAAAAGAGATTGTCCAAGGATTTTCCTCTTCTTTGGAACATCACCAGGAGGAATAAAATACACACACACACACACACACACTATGGTGATCTGACCGAAACCCAGATATGTGGAGACTCACTGCCACCAAAGGAAGTCAGTCTTCCCATTATTAATGGGTTAGATGTTGTATAGCTTTCTCTCCTATCCCTCTTCCTCTAGGGGCCCATTTTAACTTGTAGATAGGCAGCCTTCATTTATATTCTTTCTTTAGTATAATTCAGTGCTCTCAAAAGCAAAAACACAAGACAAAATCCCCAGCCCAATCAAGAAAAACTTCCCCAAAAGTTTAAATGCTAAAAACACGAACAAAAATCTTTAATAACTTGAAACAAACACATAAATAATATTTTTAAATCTATGGCAAGTGACAAGAAAAATACCACTCAAATACTGGCTGAAGGTGAAAATGACATTCCCTAGGCACTTTAACTTTGGTTATTATTAACTAGTGAAATAATTTTGAAGACTTAAGACTCTAAGCCTCTAATTATTTGAGCTTTATTAGAAAATAACAAAGTTGCCAGACCTGAACAGTTGACATTGGCCTAGGATTTTGAAATAAGTGAAAATCACAAAGCACTCTACAATTTTTAATTTGTTAAGCTCATGCCATATTGAGAAATTAATGTTTCCTCCCTCCAGTCATTAACTGCTCCAAACATGTGACATGATTTGGTCAGACACGACAGTTATTTTTTTTACTCCAATGACAAAAACAGTTGAGTGAGTAACATACAAGAAATCTAAAAATGAACTGTGATCCTCGAATTTGGCAAGCATGAAGAATTTATAAATGACATGTAGTCATAGAAAAAAAATTTGAAGTGGACTCAGGAAAGAGCACCCTAAGATGCTACTGAGCTGGTACAGGGGCCAGTGGGGGCAGGATTTCACAGCTGCTGTGGGCATCTCCATAAGCTTCTTCTGCAACCACCAAGGCACTGAGGCTTCTTTTAGGTAACCTAGTTTCATGATAGAAGAATGAAACACCCTCTCCTGTCTCTGTCCCTCCTCACTGCCTTCCCACCCAGAACCTCATCCTCACTTTGCCAAATCAATGTCTCCTCCCACAGAGGAAAGCTCTTATTTGTTTGTTTGTATGGTGATCTGTTTCTGGGTTTGTTTGTCACTGTACTCATGGAGACCCAGAATGGAATTTGATATGGGGCCATTTTTATTACCCATGCCACCACAATGGCCTCGCCTAGGCGGTCCAGGCTTGTTGGAAGAACCGATTCTAAGTTGCGACCTCAAGGTAAGTAGGAGTTTCTCACCAAACAGGTATATCCTTACTGGGGAGAAGGAAACCGGGATGATCAGATCACATTACCATAAAATAGTTGAGTCCACAACCTGCTTGGATTCCATGTTCACTAAGCAATACTCTAAATATAAGTCAGCTTCCCACAGGAAAGGAATGTACTGGTCAAGCCAACATAAACATCCCACTTACAGGCAGTTGTGGTTCTCACCATAAACTAAAAAATAAACACTTTCTCTCTTGCTCGTTGAATTAGCCTCAGTGAGCCTAGCAAATACGGAAATGGGACCATTGGGAGTGTTACCTTCACCAGGAGGTGGCTACCCGCCCCTAGACAGAGGGCACCCTGCACTCCCAGGCCTCAATGTCCACAAGGCTCATCATCAGACATTAAGGGAAACTTTAGGCATGTTTACATTAACTTATTTGGCTTTAAAATAAACGAGTTACAGCTAGCAAAATATTAAACAGGCCTAAAAGAAACTAATATAAGATTGATGCATCCCATAAACTAATATAATAATTAGACTGAAAATAATCATTTGTGTTAAAACCAACTCTGCACAAGACAAGCAGAAATCAAATCCTGATCTTTCTTCAAAAAGTGAACATTATCTCAGGTGAATGAATTCAAGAACTCTCATCACAAGCTATAGGATCTACATTGCTGTTTGTTTTATGCCTTCTATGATCGAAACAGGAATATTTATTCAAATACTCTCAATTATATAAGGAAAAGTTCTCCCTCCTCTACAAACACAGCAAAAAAAAAAACACTTAACTATGACAGATAATGAATTAATAGTCTTAGCAGCTGAAGAGTTTTTTTAAAACCAATAAGGAACACCTACACATATGCCTACTAGAAAATCGACCTAAGAAATTCACAAATAGAATTACAAATGGCCAAAAATACTATGAAAAATATTCAGCCTCACTAGTAAAGCAAATGAAAACAAGATACCAGATTAGCAAAGGTTTTTAAAAATGGCGAATATCCAAAGTTGTCAAAGATTTGCTGAAATGGGTATTCTCATACACTGCTAATGGGAATGTAAATTACTGTAACTGTTTAAAAGAGAAATTCGGCAACTGAAAATTTTAAAGGTTCAACCCTTTGTTCATAAGAATTTATCCTAAATATATCATCAGACAAACATCCAAAGATTTCCATATATAAAAGGATGCTCATCAGAATAGCAAAAAAATTATAACAAATAATAGGAGTATAGTGAAATGATTTATGGAACTATCGTGGGATACTGAAGAGTATTTAATGACATGGAATATATATATGTATTTAATGTTAAACAAAGGAAAACAAGCAATAGAACTTTATACAGTGTGATTCCTTTTTTGTAAAAATGTGGGGCAGGGGCAGTCTGGGGGGGTTGTATAAGAATTGATCAAGGCCTTAAAACAGAAAACAAAACTGAAAGGAGATACCCAAATTGTTAGAAGTGATTTGTCAAATGATATTACTAGTGATTTTTATTTACTTCTCTAAATCTTTCTGTTTTCTAAATATGTTACACTGAATATCTGCTCCTTGTATAATCAAGGGGCAAATATAAAATGTTCCTTCCTCAAGTTGAAAGGAAAAAAGCTTTAGATGAAAATTAGAAAAAAGTCTAAATCATAGTTTGAAAATAAGTTTTATGCTAGAAAAAAGGCTTCTGGAAAATTAAAGACATCAGAACAGAATTAACCCTTGCCTTTATTATTAGCATACATTTAAATAGAATCTAATTATTTAAATACATACCAGTCAGTTTATTTAACAAACGTATTTGCGCCTACCACATGTAAGATTTTATATGGAACCCAAAGATGAGTAAGACATAGCTCTGGCTTCAAACAACTGAAATTTTAGAACAAAGCCATGTATACAAATAATTGTAGTCTTAGGTTGTTCTAGGAACTGGACTTCTAATAATTGGTTTTATCAAAGCACTACAAAAAACAACATAGAAAGGAGGCACATTCAGGGCGCCTGGATGGCGCAGTCAGTTAGGCATCTGACTATTGGTTTCCGCTCAGGTTGTAATCTCAGGGTAGTGGGATCAAGCCCTGTGCCAGGCTCCATACTCAGCATGGAGTCTGCTTGGGATTCTCTCTCCTTCTCCCTCTGCCTGCAACCCACCCCCCCCCCCCCCGCCATCCACACGCTCACACTTGCATGCGCGCTGTCTCTAAATAAATAAATCTTAAAAAAAAAAAAAAAGGGAGACACATTCAAATGATTCTCCCCCTACAGTTTTACCCACTAGAACTCCTATATTACAAACCCTTCCCTCTGTAGCCTTATGATGGTTGCCTTGTACAGCAGTCATTCAACATAGCGAAGACCTGTAAGCGACGTGCTGTAACCCTCCATCCAACTGCATGTCCCGAATTTCCTCTTCAGATTCTGGAATTCGTAGGATTCACCCTGGCTTGTGTAGAGGTTTTGTACAAACGTGGCCAAAAACTAACATTTGAGAGCATACGGTGTGAGAACATAAAGAAAGAGAACCAATTCTGAAGCTGACAATACAAGTAGGAACCAAGTCTAATCCTTTGCTGCCGGCCGCTGTCAGGGACTCTGACACACAACATCCTTTAAAATCCCTTTCCTTAATGTTTCCATTAGTTTCTAAAATGATGCTCACCCCCATAATGAATTCTAGGGCTTCCCTCTACAGTTCTAATGGTGGACTTGATTATCCCTGTTCACTTCACAAGTCCTGGTTCCTACCCCTCTGTCCTCTTAGCCAAGAGATATACAGAAAGACAGTAATAACAGGTAATAGTAGCACCAACTTTTATTAAGGCCTTACTGCATACACTGGGCTAAATGCTTTAGACACATTAACAGATCTATGAGAGAGCTACCACGATCATCCTCAAGATGAGGAACCTGAAGCTGAGAAGGATCTGAAGACTTGCCAGCGAGAGGCAGAATCAGGATTCACACGTGAGCTGTGTCCAGAGCCTCCACCTTCCAACCTAGGAATGAAGGCACCGGTTCAACTAAGAAGAGCCACTGCAAGTTCGGACAGTCAGTGAGGGCACACTCACCCGCCCCGTCAGGAGTGATGGTTCCCAGTTTCACGGCTAGAGGGTAGCCCATGTCTCTGTAATGCTCCAGCGCGTGGCCGTTGCCTCCAGAGCTGTCGAAGAACCACTTCCCACACAGCACGGAGCCATCGGTCAGATTCAACCAGAGGTTCTCCCGCAGGTCACACCTGGCACACTTCCAACCACTGAAAAGTCAGTGACGAGCAGTTACTATCACTGGAACGCGAAGCATAGCTAGAAAATTAGCATCCAAGAAAACGGACTGTCTCAAGCTGGGGGTCACAGGAAACGGTGAGTGAAACAAAGGAAACCGGTGCTTCCTTCCCCCTCTTCTCCCTTCAGAATGTTAATGTCGCCCCTCCCAGAGCAGCAGGACCAATCAGTACCCTGCCCGCCTCCACCAGGGCTCTTTTACTTTAGAAAACTGACACAGTGGGACGCCTGGGTGGCTCAGTCGGTCAGGTGTCCGCCTTCGGCTCAGGTCATGATCCCAGGGTTCTGGGATCAAACCCCGCATCGGGCTCCCTGCTCAGCGGGGAGTCTGCTTCTCCCTCTGCCTCTCTCTCACTCTCGCTCTCTCTCAAATAATCTTATAAAAAATTGGCAAATAAATAATAAACACAGAACCTGAGGTCAGGAGAGGAGGTCATTTCCTTCAAATTCCTACATGAGGGACAGTAGAGCTCAAATAAGTCTAAAACATGTGAAGGATCCCATGTGCGTAAACATGTAAAGTTCTAAAGCATTAAACACACCTAGTAAAACTCGTTTAAACAAAATCCTACTATGCAGCAGTTCTGAATGAAGTATAAAGAATGTCAATTTCACTGAAGGTTAAATGTCAGGTACATGCCAAGTACCCTACAGAAGTTTGATCATCTAATTCTATTCAACACCCTTCAAAATCAATATCCCCAACCCCACTATCAAAGGGAGAAACTGAGGCCCAGAAGTAGCCTGCCTTCCCCTACAACCACACAGAATGGGAAGGCAGCACAGGCAGGTTGAACAAGACTAGAGCACCTGCCTCTGTCCACACAACAGACCTAACGGGAGATGCTAATGTAGCCCAAAGAACATTCCAGCCACAAAGGTGACAACCAAAGACTGGTAAAAGTTGTGTTCCCCTAGAAGCAGACTCTGAAACAAAGGTTTGAATGTAAATGGCTTGTTTAGGAGGTGATCCCAGGAAGCACTGGAGAGAAGGAAGACTGGAAAGGGCAGGAAGCCAGTCCAGGTATGTCAACAAGCAGACGACCACCATAGGCAACTGGGGCTCAGTCCAGTTGGGGACCTCCACTCGAGGGGTCAGGGTCCAGGGTATTTATCCACCCACACCACAGTCACTGGTTGAGGGCTGTTCCAGGAGGACAGGAGGGAGCATTAACTCCATGGCATTTCTCACTGTCCCATGCACAGGCCTGCCTGGCCTCAGCAGGCAAAGAAAGCCCTCAAGCAAAGAACTGCGGGTGCTTGCCACTGAGAGGCAAGGGGTGGGGATGAGCTCAGGGGTATGGGCTGGCCATGCTCAGCCTCTACAAAGGTACAGATACTTTTAGAAAGAATTTTGAGTTTAGTTTTAATCAGAGGCATCTGGTAAAAATATATATAACTGCCAATTCAGAGAAGAGGTAGAAATGTAAATATTCCTTTAGCCAGTTTTAAGGGGTAAAGTTCCATTTCGCTATCTGACACTCACCTCGGAGGAATCCTGACTCCATTGTCCAACTGGGTAAGGTTATTGGCATATTTGGATACCGGCAATTCATTTTCCCATGTGTCTGGGTCCTGCTTTCTATATGGAGATTTTGAGCTGAGAACCGCATCACAAGCAATTGTTACCTGTAAGACAAACCCAGATGTCATATGTAAAAACAGTTTGAGAGAATAGCAACTTCTAGAAAATAAGTTTAAAAGTTCGTTAATAAATACAGCCTGATCCAAGAAAATTCAGACAGCAGTGACCATAAGAGCAAGATCCTAGTTAGCTGATTCCAGCATTTTCTCCATGAATCTAGCTAGGGTTTGTCCCTAACCTAGAGTGTGCAGTATTGACAATGATACAAGATAGCAAGGAACCCAATCCAGTCTGTAAACCCAAGCAGATGAGTCAGATTTAACAATTTCTTAGCAAGCAGAGTAAAAAGTATTCAGTGAATGATTTACAAGAGTGAAATTAGCTATAGGAATGCCTAGGATTTACCCAAGTGGTATGTTTTCCTCCTAACAAATATACACCCAGATATCCAATATCCTCAACTCATCACACAATGGCATAAGGTCAAGGGCGTTTGAATGGAATGCAAGCAGCATGGCTCCATTTCTTAATCTGGTGCAAATGTGACCCTGGACGGGGACATGCCTAGGTGTCTCTGTGCCAGGTCAGTCAACATCATGAGCAAATCTGTGATGTCCAGCTTGGCACCAACTGACCACAGGGGAAGGGGGTGCAAATTCTCTGCTTTCTCCTAAACTCGATTAATCCGGCACATATGCATATCACCACATTTGCTATTTGCTTAATGCTATAACAACTATTTCTAGCTGTCTTTAAAAACATATTCTGGTGTGGGGCGCCTGGGTGGCTCAATCGTTAAGCATCTGCCTTCAGCTCAGGTCATGGTCCCAGGGTCCTGGGATCAAGTCCCCCATCGGGCTCCCTGCTCAGCGGGAAGCCTGCTTCTCCCTCTCCCACTCCCCCTGCTTGTGTTCCCACTCTCTGTGTGTCTCTCTCTGTCAAATAAATAAATAAAATCTTAAAAAAAAAAAAAAAAACATATTCTGGTGGGAATGTAAAATGGGGCAGCCACTTTGGCAAACAGTTTGGCAGTTCCACAAATGGTTAAACTGAGTTACCGTATATATAACCTAGCAATTCGACTCCTAGGTATACATCCAAGAAAAATGAAAATATGTGCCCATGCAAAAACTTACATACAGATGTTCACAGAACATTATTTAGAATAGCCAAAAAGCAGAAACAACCCCGATGCCCATTAATGACAAATGGATAAATAAAATGTCTTATGTCCACATAATGAAATGTTATTCAGCAATAAAAAGGAAGTCCTGATACATGCCACAACATGAATGAACCTTGAAAATAAATACACGCTAAGTAAAAAAGACCAGCCACAAAGAACTATGTATAATGTATGATTCCACTTATATGAAATGTCCAGAATAGGCAAATCCATCGAGACAGAAAGTAGATGAGTGATTGCCAGAGGCTGAAAGGGATGACAGGTGAAGGGGTGATGAGAATATTCCACAAGGAGATGGTGGCAATGGATGCCCAACTGAATACAACAAAAGCCACTGGATGGTTTAAAAAAGTTTTTAAACCAAGGTTTGTATTCTACATCCCTAACATCCTGCACAATTAGCTGAACTACATGCAGAGTGTTTTCCCCTGGGTAGCCCCAGAACTCATTAAGAGACCATGAAGGAAGCTCCCTCAGCTGCCGTCCCCCGCCCACCCAGCCCATGAGCAATTGCTCTCACTGCTGCATCCAGAATCTGTTTGGAACCTTCCTCTTCTCAATTTCAGTCACACTCGTCTTGGTCCCAGCCACTAACACAGCTCACCCAGACGGCCACACAGCAGCCTCCTTGCACGTTCCTTTCTCCCACGCCTGCCCCCTCCTCTGCACAGTAGCCAGACTGGTCTGCTGGGAATATCACATCCTCTCCTGCTGCAGCTTAAAACTCTCCAAGGCACTACCAACGGATGGCACTGAGCAAGGCACAGTCAGGAATAAGGAAGAGGTCTCTGCCCTCAGAAAGCTTACATTCCATGACACGCCAGGCATCCATAAATATATTTACACCTTTTAAAAGAGATAGTCCCACTCATCTCTCACCACAAGAACTTTTAGACAATTAGCCTTTCCTTTCAATTATCAAAGTTAATCTCCCACTTCCTTCCAGGAGTGCCCCTAGAAAACAGGGTTGAGGTCACCACAAACCCCCTCCTGATCCTCCGGGTTTCGGCTGCCTTAGCACTCGGGCTACACATCCCAAGCTTTTCAGTCTGGTCTGTTATTACAATCTCCTGGTTGCTTCAATGACTATCTCAGTCCCTTCTCTGTCCTCCTCTGAATCTTCTCCGCAGTGCACAATAATGTTGATCAAGATTTGAATACAATATTCTCTCTTTTCTTTGAATATACTTCTTGGTGACACTCAACAAAATTTCCTCAAATTTCTGGGCCACTACGAAATACTGATCTAGTGTTTTCAGAGTATCATCTGAAATCACTTAGTGGCCCTTCATATGGATCATAGCTGAAGATCAGGATCTATTATCCTATAATTATGCCATGAATTGCCTTTCCCTGGATTTGTTGTCTAGAGTGAAGAGAAAAAAAACTTGGTACTAGTCTTGGCTCCATCCCAGGCCTCATAGGCCTCAAATTCAGTAGTGTTCTGGAACTGACTCAAACTGGCTCACAGAATTGATTGTTAAATTTTAAGAAATTCTGCAAGATGGTTGTTAAACACGGCCATTATTGAAAATTAAATTATAAAAATTTACAATCAAGTAAAATATATTTTTAAAAAGTAACAAACACTCAAAACTCTTCACTTCCTGTTCTACTATATCTTACGAGTTTCTGTGTGCTCCTGAGGTTATTTACATTTACGTTATGTGACTGGCGGGAATTCTATATAATGGTATGCTACTGTAGACTCTCAACACTGCTTTCGAGACATCTGTTAGTCTGAAATCAGCCACGGTGGGAATATTTACACCACGGAAATCATCAAACACTACAAAGCAGGCCTTTCCCCCAGGGAGCTGGTTGCTAAATATTTACAAGCACACCATTGCTTGAGTTCCTGATGTCTAAAATGAGGCATTGGATTTCAGGCTATAAGATCCCTACTGAGCTCCAAATGCTATGTCTCTTCAAACTCCACATCACTGAGAGGTGGTTTAACTTTCTGGTAGAATCCACAGAGTTCTTATCTGAAACAGAATTTTTTCTGAGCTGAGAAGCTCAAAAGATGAAGGAAGAGTCATCTGGTTGGGTGATTTTCAGCTCAATAATTTTTGTTATTTAAAAGCTTAAAAAAAGAGTCTGCCTTCGGCTCAGGTCATAATCCCAGGTTCCTGGGATCAAGCCCCAGGTCGCGCTCCCGGCTCAATGGAGAGTCTGCTTCTCCCTCTCCCCCTGCTCAGTCTCTATCTCGCTCTCTCTCTCTCACACACACACACACACACTTGCTCACTCACTCTCTCTCAGATAAATAAATAAGTAAATAAATAAATAAATAAAATCTTTCAAAGCTTAAAATGAGAATATCAAACACCAAAAAATGTAGCAGAAGCATGAAAAGATAGGAACCAGCACCTGATATATAAATAAATCCTATCAGTTAGCATCAGATAAACCCAAGCTTTTCCTTCAATTTCTCCACCCCAACTTTCAAATAATTCTCCCTCTCCTTCTTTAGAAAATTTTCATGTATTTCTTGATGCTAAAAGACCATATTAAAAATTATAACATATATTGAGGGATTCAGATTTCTATGACTCTTCACTTTTATTTAAATAGAAGTATTCACACTTTGAATTATATTCTGAATATAGGAATAATTAAAAAACACTTAAAGGCTCCATTAACTTTTTCACATAAAGGCTTCTCCTTCATAAGTGAGAGAAAAATCATTTCTCGTGACATTTATTCACAGTGTGCTTCTTTATTTCTTTTCTGACAGCAGACGTAAGAGTTATATTAAACAAGGGCAGGCAGCAAGAACTCTCAGTATCATGGAGATACAAGCTTTAGTATATAATTTCAGGTAATGGGACGAGGTAAGACCATTTTGCCCACTCATACATTTTATCCTTGGTAACGGCCACATGAGTCAACACAGGGAACTGGAGAAAGGAGAGGTAATTTAATTCTCTATGCACTGCTAAACACTGTGCACTTAGCACTAAAAAAGGATATGTCACGTATAATAATTAGAGGAAAGAGCTACAGTAGCTAAATACACAACATTTTCATTTCTATGGTCTTATATTTAGGTAGAAAGTAGGTCAGGGGCAAAAGAGGTTGAATGGTAGAAACCTGGTCTCTAATGACATGGGAACCCCAAGCACAAACACACCCCCCCTCCTGGCAGAAGCAAGTGAGCAGGTGGCTGTAGATACAAAGTCACACAATGTCCTGAGGATTCCCAGACCTAAACACCTGGCTTTTGTTCTGGGGGAGTGCAGGGAGGGAAGAAGGGAGCTAGCATGTCTAAACTCCATGGACCCTTCTCCCTCTGCCTCTCTCTCTCTCTCTCTCTCTGTCATGAATAAATAAATAAAATCTTTAAAAAAAAAAAATTAAAAAAAAAAAAGGGCGCCTGGGTGGCTCAGATGGTTGAGCGTCTGCCTTCGGCTCAGGTCATGATCTCAGGGTCCTGGGATCGAGTCCCGCATCGGGCTCCCTGCTCCTTGGGAGCCTGCTTCTCCCTCTGCCTCTCTCTCTCTCTCTCTCTCTGTCTGTCATGAATAAATAAATAAAATCTTTAAAAAAAAAAAAATTAAACTCCATGGACCCTGACCCTCCTGCTCCCGGGGGCCAGGCTCTGAGAAGTCAAGGTGTGCACAGAGTGGGAAAGAGGAAAAGAAAGGGAAAAGAACAAAGGAGAGAAGGATGGGGTGGGAGAGACAATACAGGACAGGAAGAAAGAAGAGAAAAAATGCTTGGGTCCTTATGGGAGCTCCGCGCCTCCTTACGGGATCAAAGTACAACAGAACGTGGCTTCCTCACCTCCCTTGCCACCCCCAGCTTCATGTCATTCAGGAAGGTGAATGCTGCTCCACGAAAATCAAGGGAAGGGAAGAGAAAAAAAAAATTCACCACTAAATCTAAACGCTAAAACCTAGAAAGTAGTTTTAGTCTTCATGAGGAACAAAACTTTCAAGGAGTCTCACATTACCACGGAGCTCCTGCAGACCTGTGATTTGTAAACGTTTAGTTATTTTTATAACCATGTTGCTGTTGCTTCGGCAGAGAAATCCTTATTTTTCCCAAACAAAATCTCACGTGTAAGGCTAATATGCAGAAGAGATAAAAATATAGCCATTCCTCTGATCAGAAGACACCCCTCTCCAACAGCCCCTGTACATCTCAGGGGCACAGTGTGAAAATCTAAGGGACAGACTGTGAGTTACAAGGAGCAAGAAGCCAGCCCACGGAGGGGAGGCCAGCCCACCGTGGGGGAGGGGGCAGCCCACCATGGGGAAGTGGGGGAGGCCAGGCCACAGGGGAGAGACCAGCCCAATGTTTATATACTTAGAGGCCCACACAGCAATGGAAAAAAACGCGCAGGAGAAGGTATCTGGCCGAACTCTACTAAAACCTCACCCTGCAAGACCCTTTCACAGAGAAGAAGCAATATGCTCATGTTCATTCTCGTTCTTCTCCTCCTCTCATTCAACCTGCCTTCCCCACCCCCCGAGTGCATGCACACGCACACGCACACGCACACACACCTGACACAGAGAGTCACGCGCATCTAGCTAGCAGCCGTGCACACTCACTGACCAGGGCTGGTAACTCCTCAATATTTGGCAGTGCTATTTCATAGTGGTCTGGGAATATAACAAGTTTGGCTTCGTCTTCATATTCATAATCGTCGCTATTTAAATCGTCATCAGTATCTAGATCTGAGGAAAAAACAAAAACAAAGAACAGGAAGTGAAAAGAGAACATTCTACACCAAGGCAGGACTCACTGCAAAAGCCAGAGATCCACAGGAATGACAAACCAAGAGCACGACATTTACGATTCCCTCCTCTGACGACCATCCGTCTGCCCCAAACCAGGAGTAAAAGGCCTACTATCTTTCCTAAGTTATGAATACTTACGAATAAGTGACAGATGTGTAAAGACTGAGACCGATCACACAGCTTTACAATTAAAATAGACACATGTGCTAGATATTCAATTTGTAAAGACTTTTAAAGGAGTAAATGGTTCATTCTGATCTGTTGGGCACCTGGCTCCTGACTGCATAAGAAATGGACTGGAATGTTTTTCACAACACTGTAATATGGAAGAAAGTACGGGGTTTCCGCATACATAAACCAAGGTTCAATTCCAGCTCCAAAATTTAATGTAACTTTGAGCAAGTCACAAAGTCTCTAATCCTTAGTTTCCCCATTTGCAGAATGGAGATAATATCTCTTATCTCACAAAGCTTATACGAGGAATAAATAAGAAATTGTCGACAAGAGACCCAGCACATAATAGGTAGTCAATAAGTGATAGCTACTATTTAAAAACAAAATCTCAATCTCCCTCTCTCTGTCTCTGTCTCTCTCTCCCCATCCCCCTCTAGGAGTTATTAAGATACTGTATCGTAAATCAGAGGGGAAAACCCCATAATATAAGTAGTCCTGTTGTCCTCAGGCTGTGCAGAATTTTCAGTAAGAAAACTGAGCTCCTCTAGCCTGCTATGTATCAAGTCATCACCTGTTTGCTTGGCTAATCTCTGGTGAAGGTTAAGTGAAGGCTCAAGGAAATGTCTTGTCACAATATTTACATGGACATGTCAGCCTTACATTCACATGGATGCCAGCATCCCAGATCAGGTTTGTATATTTAGATGTTTGGAACTATGGTGACAACGAGCTATTGAGCCATATTCCACTCACATCACACATAAACAGGTACACAAACACAGGTCTGTAGACAGACAAAAGTTATTTTCCTAGACGAAGCAACCACCTGAGAACCAAAGGATCTAGGTTCTGTTATTACCTTGTTGTTTGCCTCCAACCAAAAACCTAGTATCTTTTTGTGTACAGTTCTGCTCCTGAATTCTCAAAAGGAGACAGTGGAAAATGAGATACAGGGAAAACACGGTCTCAACAATTTAATAAAAGATTCCAAATAATAAGAATCAGAAACGCCAAAATAAATAGCCAACATTATTAGATAGCATAATAGGTCAGTTTGACAAAAGGCAATGTTAAAGATGATTCTAAGAGTTTAAGAAGTAGTTAAAAGCGTTATTTGCTAGATGGGATGCTGCCCAATTCATGAATCATGTAATAAAAGCAATTAGATCTTCAATTTTTTAAAAAAGTAACAAAAGGCATTTACTTAAAGGAAATGGTTCAAATAAAGACAGACATTCTATATGTCATAAAAATTTGAATGCCCCAATACCTATAATTTTAAAAATCAGAACCTAAATGTTCAATGAGAATGGTGTTCAACCCAGTAGAGTATTATTTAAATGATACTTATTTAGATTATGTAGAAACATGGAAATATTTATGCTATGTCAATGTTAAAAATACAAAATTCATCTTCACTGTAAAGACAACTTTGTAAAAGTTATGCTCATAGATGAGAAATAGAAGGAAATCCGACCAAATGAAAATAGTGAGTGTGTGAGCATTTTTCTAGTCTTAAATTTTTATTATATCTTTTATAACAAGTTTAAGGAACGGAAGTGCAACTCTTTTGTTTTTGTGTACAGATTCGGCTCATATTACATATTATCTAAGCTTCTCTTGTCCACAGAAAACACACTCACTTAATACTAAGTCAAGTCTTACCTGGCCAGACACAATGATAAACTATGTCTAAAAAAATCCCGCTCTGTCATTTACTAACTATGTAACCCTGGGCAAGGTCTTTCCGAGTTTATTTTCCTCAGGAGCACGCTATGAATAATATCTGCCCCCACAAGATTGCTGCGAGGATTAGACAAGATAAGGTTTTAAGGCATCTGGTATGGGATCTGGCAGGTGTTGGGGCTCCATAGAAAGCGGCCACCATCACCACCATCACCCTCTTCCCTACACTCCTGACAACCAACATAATCACAAGTGCCCTCCCCTCCCTTTGGCTCGTCCCAGGGACCCTGCTCTGTGATCTCAGGATGGAGAACATATGAACTTCAAAGGCTTCTAGACTGTAAACTGTCAGTGCAGGAAACGGATCTTGTTCACCTTGCATATGCCCAGCCCCTGCACAGTACCCAGCACACACCACTCACACACTAAGTATCAATGAAAGGAGACTTCAGGAACTTAAAAACCCCAATATGCTAGGGACAACAGCAAAGCAGGATTCTCCAAAGGGTGGTTGTGGGTTTGGGGGTTTTTTAATTGGTAACAGGTATGTGCTTAAAAATAAGCACAACTGTTGTTGTGTAAAAAAGCAAGAACTTTGTTGGGCTTCTTTATACTCCATCTATAGTTGCTTTTATTTTTATTTTTAATTCAATGGGGTAGAAGGGGACCGTGATCCTTCCCAAACATCTTTATCCAAATTAAGGAAAAGTCACAGAAGTAAGTTACACTCTGGTTTTAAGGGACAAATCTAAGATTTCTCCTAAATATATATGACCCCACAATCCTAAGTATAAATCTGTAAGTTCTAAATTCCCCTAATTAGTCTTACCACCCCAAAAATATCTAGTTGAGGAACCTACAGAGAAATTATACCCTAGGGACCAGTAGGACTAGGACCTCCCAACCTCTCCCAGCAGCTACTTTCCACTATGGCTATTAACTTGCAGTACCTGAATGGACTCTTTTTCTAAATTAAAAAAAAATGTTTTTAATAATCTCTTCCCAATTCAACTTCAGTGATCCTCTCAGATACCTGGGAGAATTGGCTGGTACCACAGCCATTTCCAAAAAGCATCTCACTTAAGCTGAGAAGCAGCACCATGGAAGAAAAGACCCTTAAATCAAACCAGGACTCGGACACCCAGCTCAGAGTTCTCCCCAGCCTGACCAGATTGACTAATCTGTGTGCTCAAGGTGAGAGAAGTCTGGCTGATCCAATGCCGTGAAATCTGACCAACCATTTACCCTCACAAGAAGGTATGGGGCAAACCTCCTTGAACACAGACCCTGGTCTGGGACCTACTTCAGAGGGAAGTGGCAAAATGGAGTTTACTAGAACCTTCTGGCCCTTATATATATAGCTGAGTTTCCTGAACAGGCCCATTCCTAGAACTTTCCACAAATGCTCTGTTTTCAACCCATTTCTCACCAAGTATGAATGCTAGGGCTAAAACCAAAAAAGTGGACATCTAAGCTCTCTGAGTTTTAGTGGTGGTTCTTCGATGTCTGAGACTTCAGACACGAAAGAACTTGACTCCTTTACTCCTATTTCTGAAAGTTGGTGGGAAGATGAGGAAGCCAATAAAAATGTGAATATTTAACACTGTTTTAATGACATACCAAAGATCTGCACTAAATGCCTTAGCAGTTATTTACACATCCATACACATTTGTAGCTTGACTGTAAAAAATATGTAAGATTAGGCCAGAACCACATCACGAGTCCTGGGGTATTTCTTTGAAGATCCTGGACTCCCTAATATCCACCCCCCTTCTCTCCTTCCATCTCATAAAACAGTAAGTTTTGTATTAGCTGAGTCTAAAAATTCACAATCTCCCCTATCGGTGTAAGTTATCCTTTAAAAGATAACCTAACAGTGTCCCTCTCTAGCTTAAAAACATTGACACAGAGCTACCCACTTCCTCAGTGCACAGCGGCCCTAAGCCAGAAGAAATGCCCAATAGCTCTGTTTGTTTAGTAGTTGGGTCCAAACAACTTAATAAGTATTTATGTTCTAATGACTTAGTAACCATTTGAAAAAAATAATATACATAAATGGAAAGGCAGAAATGTTTTATTTCACTCTTAAATCACCACAATCCCTTGCTAACGGGATGTGTGCCCCTGTTGGACACTGCACAGCTTCTTTCTGAATCAAATGGAACACAGCCTCCCTCATGTCCCGTTCCACATTTATTTTTCACATGGCACCTGCCTTTTACCATAGAAACCACCAAAAAATCTGCTCCACAAAGAGGTGAAATCACTGAAAGGAATTTAGAATTCTCCGACAGTAAAACTACGCCATGCTAATAGTTCATGCAATGTTCAAGTATCACTGCTGTTCCCTTGAAGTGTTAAAATACCCTGTGGTGCACCTGTGAGTTCGTAGCACCCTTGGGTGCCTCAGAGCACAGTTTGGAAACTAAGTGTTAATGGTCCCAACTGCCTAGAGGAAAAAAGTCTAAAAGCATGGTTATATTATACTATGGCTGGAAGAATATACAAGATATATAAGAATGTGCAAATAGAAAATACTATTTGTCTCTGGGGAGAGTAACCAAGTAAGCTAGGAGGCAGAGAAGCGAAAAAGACTTACTTTTCATTATAGAGCCCCTTGTAACTTTTCAATTTTAAGCTTTGTCCAAAAAACATTGTTGTAAAAATGTTTTTTAAATCCTAAGTATAAAAAGTATAAAATTAAGTGATTCAAAAATTAATAATTGTCATTGTTGATTTAAACACACACACACACCCCCACACACACACCAGCAAGAGCTAGAGCTGAGGGAAGAATCCTTAACTGTGACTTCACCTGAATGAACATCAAGGTAATCGGGAAGAGTGACTTTAATGTTGAGGGGCAAGATGGTGCTCCAGAGACTTGGGTAGGCCATTCAGCACCAGCTCAGTTTCCCTTATAGAATCAATAGTGAAGGTCATATAGAATGATTCAGTGGGTTCAATGTTCACTGTTGAGCCAGTGAAAAAGGAATTGGTCACGAAGTCATGAAGTGACTGGGGAAAAAGAAGCTTCTATCCAAGAGAAAGCATTAACCAGCTACATCTATTTTGTGAGGGGAAGATGGGCATCGTGATGACATTTTAACAGCAATGAGAAAAATGCTTTCTAGTCAAAGAAACAAAGAGACTGCAAGAGAGTTCTGAGTTCTCTTCCTCTCCAAGAAGAGACAAGCCCAACATCCCTTTTAGGGAAGGAGTATGTGGCAGAGGCTACAAGCTGCCTCCCAATAGCCACTCTCCCCTTCTTCCTCAAACAGACTTTACTCAATGAAGCCGGTTAATAAACTTAATGTACTTTCCAGTCTCCTGTACAGCACGAGGTACGACCACGTGACCAAGTCCTGACCAGAGAGGTGTAAAGTGAAGTGTTGCTTAGGGATCTGTGAGAAGACTGACAAAAGGAAGCTGATGACTCCACAGGGAGACTAGGTATTTTTTTTTTGTCCTTCCCCCCTTCCTCTTTGCTCTTTCTGGGATGGCGATGTAATGGGGGGAGTTCCAGAAGCCATTTTGTACCATGTAGTGACCATGAAGTTAGAATCACACGGCAGGATGGAAGGTGAAGCAGTCTAGATGGAGGGGAAGAGTCTAGATCCTGATGAACATGAGGCCATCACATCAGCCTGGACTTGCTGCTTCCCGATATCCTCTACATGAGAGACAAATAAACATCTACCTTATTTAAAGTCACCAATATTTTAACTTTTCTGTTGCATAAGCCAGATCTAAGCCTAATATGGTACTTCACTTGAATGTACAGGCCACATCAGCTTGAAAACAGCTGTGATCAGTGTAATCAGAGAAAAGTGACTGCTCCTAGGGGACATGAAGCATCATATCGAGGGAACTGTAAATCTGGGCTTGCAAAACCAAATACTTACTGGGATGAAGCAGCCAACATCAATGTGTGACGTATCTGGGTAACAAACAATAGAGAGGAACAGGGCCTGAGGCAAGCCCCAAAGTACCAATGGTGTTTACATTTAAATTTTTTTAAAAACTGGTGGAGTCCAAACAGAATATATTTGCTGGACTGTAACTTTTGGGTATGTTCTGTGGTTTTCTAAGATATGGAATGTTGAGTGAACACAGACGGCAGCCTATAGAAATAGACGGCAGAAATGGAACAGTAGGTTAGCATTCCCAAGAAGCAATGAAAGAGGTCCACACAGTGTGAAGCACAAAACCTCAGTGTTTACTTTTGGATTAATTCTTAAAATAGTTACTTTACTATATCCTCTACCACCAAAGTGATCACTAGAGAAATCAAACTGCAAGCTCTTTGGGGCGCCTGGGTGGCTCAGTCGTTAAGCGTCTGCCTTCGGCTCAGGTCATGATCCCAGCGTCCTGGGTTCGAGCCCCACATCAGGCTCCCTGCTCAGCAGGAAGCCTGCTTCTCCC